TTTCCTTATCTCATTCTCGATTCGTTATACTCTCGTTTTCAATCATATTATTCCGAATGTTTGCATGCCGAAGTGGATAACATTACACAAAAAAAATCAAATTTACTTGCTTGTGGCTCTAAAAGAGCATTACGTAACTTTATATCTAATAATCTTATATTTATACATTTCAAGGTTTTACAACGATTCTATCCCGCGTCATTGTTAGATAATTTCAAGCATGAAATCGATGGTTTTGAGGTTTGAGGAGATTTTAGTATTGATGTTTATGCAATTGGTTTTCGTAAGAACGGATTTGAAGCACAGGAATATGGTGATGTCCTTAAATGAAAAGAATAAAAAGGTGTATAGGTTGAAGGTTATGGATTTTTTGCATCATATTCAGACCAACAACGGTTTGAAAATATAAAGGCCTAGAAGCTTCTACGTTTTGTGCCTCTATTCCCACCGACACTGGTCTGTATATATATTTACACCAAATTTAATTTATCTTTATAATTAAAAAAACTTTTACGGACAATATACGAACCGATCTCGGTCTGTATATATGTATACAGACCGATTTCGGTCCCAATATATACCCACCTGCAGCATGCGAAGATAGTGATGTCCTTAAATGAGAAGAATAAAAAGGTGCACAGGTTAAAGGTTCTAGATTTTTTGCATCATATTCGGACCAACAACGATCCGAATATAAGTAATTTAAGTAATTTAATTCATATTTATCATTAAGAAAGCTTTAACTTATATATACAGACCGACAACGGTCCGAATATAACCGATTGCTTTTTCACTGGTTTGGCCCTTTGAAAATTTCATCGAAAATTAAAATTTTCAGGTTTGGCACTTAATTATTTATTTACAGACCATTTTTGGTCCATATAACTTGCCGCCAAAAATTTCGTTTCAAGTTAAACTTTTTTGTAATTTGCGGACTAATATTGATCTGGAAAATTTGCTGCCTAAATTTTCGGCAAAATTGAAGCTCTCCGCTGGCGGACATGTGGCACTTATTTTGGTATATTCAGACCGGTTTCGATCCATATAAAACATATATATAACCAGCTTCCTGTCTTTTCTTTCCTCATTTTCTCTTCTTCTTCTCCTCCGTTTCTAGGTATTCTTTCCTTTTCTTTCTCATTTCCTTTCTCTATTCCTTTTACTCTTTCTCTTTTTTTCTTTATCTTCCCTTCTCTTTCTTCTCTTCTTTGTCTACACTTCTTAATATATTTTTTTTTTATTTTTCTTACTTCTTTTACTCTTCTCCTCTATTTCACCTTTTTTTTTTCCTCTAATTTGTCTGTTTTTTCCAATCTTTTCTATTCTACTCTCCTTTTTGTTTTTGATTTATAATATGTTTTATAAAAAATTTCGTTTTGGTATATTTTTATTATTTATATTTTGTTTACTAACGTCTTTTTTTGTTTTTGTTTTTGTAGGTTTC